GTGTCCAAGCTTTCTCTTGCTTCAGCCAGAGTTCAGCTTGAGGGGGGATATTAGATAATAAAACTAACATTACTTCTGGTAGTATTGGTTATGGTAGTGTTTCATTATTAGTCAGCTTCCTAATCCTATTTGTAGTAGATGTTGTATGTTAGTTAGTTTCCATTCTCTATTCCTAGTTGTGTTAGGAATCTCTCCTATATATACTCTATCATGTATTCCATAATTAAAGGAGCAATATTATTATTATTTCAATATTTCAACAATAAAAAAACAAATTTTATTTTAGGACAACCAAAAAAGAAATGTGAAATCTTTTTGTGAGAGGGAATGAATAATAAATGCACTACAAGTACAACATATTATGTATGTTGTGTTGTTGCCCGCATCAATTTATTATTTTCTCAAAACACATTGCTAGCTCATGTTATGTTTTACAAGTGCATATATATTATGGAGTACATGATAATCTAATATTTATTCATACTTATCTCAACTTAATGACACACAATAAATTAATGTCTCTTCTTTTGTTTGGACTTGAACCTAAGGGAAGTTCTCTGCGATATTGTCCTAATATAATCAGTAACAAAATGCTAGGGGTACACTTTTGGTGTATTCCACATATCCCTCACCCCATCCATAACCACATAAAAAGGCATGTAAAATTAAAAAAACAAAACAAAATAAAATGAATGGTAAAGAGGCATGTGGAGTATACCCCTAGCATCTCCCTAATTAGTACGTTGTTATTTTAAAATAGATGCAATCATGATTTTTTTACACTTTCATTTGATCAACTTTTGTGAGATTTATAGTACTTTATAAATAGAGAAAAATATAGGACATACACTGCCTTGTTATATTTTTCCCGATATACATTTTTATAATAGCGATTTTTATGAATTGTACTAAAATCATCCAATTACCCTATCAATTATTAACTCCCCTTCAAGTTTATTTATTGATACTCTAGATTAATCTACTAATTACATCATATTCATCCTCTAAAAAGTAAGGGAAATGTTGGATTTAATGAAGGAAGAACACTGCGAAGCAGTGTTGAACGAAGAACTCGATAGAATAACGAATCGCGTACGAAATGCTTTCAGATCAAAGTTATTTCGGGGTATACGAAATACTTCAATCGGATAAGACGTTAATTTAGAACAAGCACTCGAGAATCTGTCTATCAACCCATACCACGAGACTCTATTTTATAGAGTCGAAAATTCTTGTGATCGGACATGAACGTTCGCGTAGATGTACGCGTACGTTCGCGCAAGATGAAAAAGGTGCGAGTTTGAAACGAAAGGTCTCATGCGGTTGAAGGCTTAATTTCGACGTTTATCCATTATGTACGAGTCCTTTTACCGTTTTGGACTCCGGTCACGAAAATCTTAAGGATTTTCTTAAAGAAACAACGTCCGAAATAAAAAATTTCCAGCTCGACCCCGGCCAGGAGCTCTGCCCCTTGGACCCCGCTACCCGGGGGCTGCCGCCCCCGGACCCATGCAGTGAATTTATAATATCGTTGAACAAGCGCGCACTCCGCGCCTCCTAACTCGTTTGACAACGTCTATTTAAATTCTTGTCCGATCAAAGTAAATCCAATTACACAAAATAAATTGATGACACTAAAATCACCAACAGGAAATAATATGGGAAAGTCAAACACAAAATATTGTCTATTTGAATTTATAAAAACTTAATACTCCCTCTGTCCCTATTTTTATTGCATGTTCCAATTATTATTTTGATTGAAATTATTTTTAAATTATTTTATATGAAAAAATTATATAATTAAAACATAAAAATCACATATTAAAATACTACATCAAAAGATCTAAAAAACTAGTGCTGACATAATTATTTTATTAAATGACTAGCAAAAATAGAAAAAAAAAATAAATAAAGATTGACTCTGTAAATATTAAACAAATAATTTAATTTGAGACAGAAGGAATATAAGAAATAAGGAAGCGGGACAATATATACCCTCCATAGTGGCCCCATGTCGTTGAACATTTCTCATCCTTGACTTTTGTTATGAAAGAGGAAAACTTTGATTGATAATTTGAAAGGAATACTTTTTTTTTATTATAATTAAGTTACTTTAGTGAAAGTTATGAATGTATGTCTTCACAATCTTTCTAACATAGAATATTTTAGATTATTTTCACTTAAAGCATCCTTTTGCTTAAATGTATATTAGTTGTCAAAATTTCCAATAGTTGCTTAAAAGTAAGAAAGGTGGAATTTAGGATCCTACACTGCCCCGACCCGAACTCACTCCCTACCCTTTCAAAAGCATCTTTCAAGTTTATTTGATTTTGGAGTCAAAATTTTGACTCTAAAGTCAAATAAACTTGGAGGGTACTATCGAAGGGGGAGGGGGAGGGGAGGTGAGTTCGGGTCAAGGTGGGTGGGAGGGTTGTTGGAGGAGTTAAAGGGGATTTGAACCATTAATTTTTCAAACGAAACATCATAGTTGTCCCGAGTCATGCTATGATATTGCTAGACAATGTCACACAAACCGGGGTGATAAACGTAACTTGGAAAAAAAAATATGCATTAGAAATTTAGGCATGGGATATGATTAAAATTTCATACCTAACACTTACAATTTGAGATCACACTTAAACAAAATATAATACATAAAAATAAAAACAATATTGTACCAAATTTTTTCTGAAATAAACTTCACTTTTAATATCCCCAATCTGATGATATTTCCCTTTATTTACTCGTATTTTTTATTTAAATTTTTGGGGTAGCCAGCCTACTTTGGGACACATGAGTGATTGAGATAAAGGCATATATACCACTAAAAAGAAAGTAAGAAAGTAGTTTTGGGACACATGAGTGATAGGGATCAATGCAGAATACTAAGAAAACTGCATGCACAGCTATTCTAATTACACTTACACAATGGGATTTACTCTAACACAAAGAAACACAAACATTAAGGGGGTAATAATCATGAATATATCAAAAAGAAGAATCTAATCACCACCCTTATCTCCATAATGCAGAAATTTATCACTCATATATCATAATTAGCAACTAATGTTACTAGAACAAATTCTGAAATACACATACTATACATACATACATACATATGTATGTATTTATTTATTTATTTCAGAATTTAGGATGGGACACATTGACAGAACACATTGATAGAATTTAGGATGTGATAGAGATAACTGGATTGGGTAATAAGACACTTGGGTTGAACCACATTAAAAGATTAAATCCAATCTGGATTAGTTAATTCAACTCAGGAGCTTATATACCGATTATTTTACTCTTGCACTTCCGATGACATACATGAAGAATCAGCCAAGAAATTAATGGCAGGACCATGCATGCCAATATATGGTGCTTCATGGTATGGTATACAAAACAGACATAATCAGTAATCATAGTAGGATAACACGCGCCTCCTAAAGCATTGACTGTAAATAGCTCAATCAAGAGAATTGATTGATGAACGCCATCGACAAAGAAAAATGTAGTGAGCATGTCTAATGTCTATCACCATTTCAGCAGTTTCATCGAGCAAATCTATAGCAATTTGTGTGCATGTTCCATCGTGAAAATTCCATTGAAACAAATAGGGCTCTTTGGAAACAGTGTTTTCTATCAGCTTTAGCGTTTTGAACTATTGTTTATTGTTTAATGGTGCATACTATAAAAAGCTAAAACTAAACACTAATGTTAGGCAGTCTTTTGAAAACGCTTAAGCTGTTGCCAAACAGGCACATAAATATTAAGGAACATCATTCACAGGACTCCTTTCCCCTATTTGCAATGACCCAAGTGAATGTTGGGACTTGGGAGATGCAATACTAATCAACAATTGCAATGGTTATAGGGGCAAGCAATATATATGGCTCTTTTTAATGTACCAACGACTATGCCGTTGTTCAGTGAATCCACTCCAACCTCCATGGGGGGGGGGGGGGGGGGGNTAACACGAAAACCGCTCTCCATGCCCGAACAATCATGTAACAACAAATTTTCTACAATTAATTTTGGTAAGAGCAAGTAAATTTTTTTTAGATATTCATAAGGTCATATTTCTGTGAGTTAGAACACATAACATTCTCAACCAAGACCCATAATCGTAACTGCAGAATAAATTCCTTTTAGGATTCCTACAAGGATTTTTTAAAACTATGAAGAGTAATTAATCAAGGATAAATCTACGAAAATATACCATGCGTTATCATCAACAACACACATTTTCAAGAGAACACACAATTGTGCATATAAGAATGTCTATCAAATAAATGGGTGTAACATTAGCCCTCATATATGCACGTTGTGTGGTACTGTGGTTCCAATAAAAAGTAAAAAAAACACAAACGCTTGATCCGTCTTGATGCACTATTACTTTGTAAGTTTTGCACTTTTTGCGGTGACAGAAAAGTTCTGTTTGATTACAAAATTGCCACCACATTTTTAAATGATTTTTCTTCATTTTAATTTAACATCGACCCGAGAAGATCTCACAGTACAATGTACCATATTCCTTCTTATTTTTCATTGGAATGAGTTGGCCTAGAAAAAAACTTAAAGTATATGCTTTATCTTTCTGAGTGGGCTAGAAAAAAATACTTAAATTATTAGACTTTTGCTATAACAGCAACAATAACATCTCAGTTGAATCGCACGAGAGTGAGGTTGGGGGCAGGGTGTGTGTGTGTGTACGTAGACCTACTCAACTACCCTAATCTTAGCTCTCCAAAAGTTCCTATCTAAGGTCATATCCTCGGTAAGACTAAGGCCTAGAAGTCCGAGGTCCTGTCTAATCACCTCCCTCCAAATTCTTCCTAGATCTATCCCTTCCCTTAATCCCACCCGCAGTCGTATGAAACTCCAAAGGTAAAACTTTGAGTTTATTTGTGGGACATACCAATATAAAAAACAAAACTCTAATTGTGGATGGAGGGAATATTTATCATAAAACTAAGGTCAATCACTTGTTCCATTGCAATATATTGGTCTATATATTACCTGTGTTGCATGTTGTAATTCTTTAGGCCCTGCATATTTAAGACCTATGACTGTGAGAACCATGTGCCATACTAAAAACTCAATGGAAAGTCAACAAGATAAATAAATAGTTATAAGTCTATAACATAAATACCTGCAACACAAATTCTTTCATTATTATTCTTTAATAATGAGTACAATGTTCCTTCTTGCTCAAGGACTGTCCTCAAGTTTTTGTACCAATCTAGAAAATTCTCTCCATTAAGCTTCTCTTGCTCCAGAAGAGAGCTCATGGAAAATGTATTGGAAGTATTACCTGTCATGAATATCTACCATAAAAATAGGCAAAAATAAATGTAATGATCTAAATTACTCTTTTATGTTGCCAACAAAATAAAACTATGCAACTTACGTCGACTATCCAATGCAACTCAATATAAACTATCACAATTGCAATCAATTAGAATCTAGTACAAGATTATAAACTTAAAATGGATGTATTATCCATCATGAATATCTACCATAAAATATGCAAAAATAAATTTAGTGATCTGAGTTATTATTTTATGTTGCCACCAAACAACAACCGATGTATTAAAATCCCATGAATGGAGTATGGGTTTAAGTAGACCTTACACTACCTAGAAATAGCATAGAGGCTGTTCATGATATGTAGCCACAGGCTTGTTCAAAATAAGTCATCAACAATAACAACAGTCCCAGTATTATAGTCATCACTCTTAAATAAATTTTAAAATTATTTTAATTTGAAAATAATTTCAGTCAAACATTGAAAATCAAAACAGACAATTTAAATTGGGACGGAGGGAGTAAAATAAATTATAGCATTACATTTTCTAGGGAGTCAAGTTCACACTTCCCCCAATTTTGAGTGAGCTTTAATTCATCACTACATGAAACACTGCTATTTAGGTAGACCAACTAAACAACAGCAATAACAACAACGCCTCATCCAACTAGGCCGGGTAGGGTACGTGGATCAAACGACGCTATTGCGCCCAATCATGTACCATATCTGCAGATTGCAACGAGATCATTCACACGAAGGTAGACAACTAGACATCACTTGTAAATTGCATCTCATGCAACTTTTAATTGCTTGGGTGAACAACTCTTCTTAAAATTTGTCTATGAACAATGTCAACTCAAAAAAACAAAAAAGAAGATAAAGTTTGACCATAAGGAGCTAATGGAAACATTATTTTGACACAATATACTCATTTTGAGCTGATTATATAAATTCTTTCCTAAAATACATAGTTTAAATACATTTCAAAATTCAAACAATTTAAACTATTCAATTACGAAGTCCAACTTTAACAGATTTACCACATTCAACCACTTCTACTGCTCTACAATATCAAGAAAGAAATCACCTCACCCAAGTGAAAGACTAGTTACAGTCAATTTCTTGGAAAGTTGGAAGTGAAATGCCCATTAGTAAGTTGCATATCATAAGATAGTTCTACAAAACAATGGATTTTACTCTTCCAAGAGTTAAAATTTAATGACTGAAATTGTGAATTATCATTTCTACTTTTATTCACCATAAAAATAAAACAATACAAAATATTGAAGCATGTTAAGTTGTTTACATGTTGTAAGAAATTAAATGCTTAGATTTACAAAAAAAATGGTGGAACCTGTTAATGGAAATATGGAATGAAGAAGACTATGGGAGATCCGGGTGGGGTGGCGATTAACCCAAATACTGGTAGAAGACTACCAGTAATCCCCACAAGAACAAGATCCATCTTTGAAATGGTGGAACCTGTTAATGTCTCTAATTATGATCTCTCTGGACACAATCTTACATATGAACTTGAATGCAGTATGACAATCCAAACAAATCCTGAGGTTCTTTTTCACCCTAATGGGAGATCCGGGTGGGGTGGCGATTAACCCAAACGCCACTGCAAGTTTCTCACTGTGGTAAGAAAGCAAAATCTCCTTTTGCTTCTTTTCCACATCATGTAGATCAACCTCCACCATTGGAACATACCCTTCTTTCCTCATTAACTCTCCCAATTCCTCAAGTTTTGCATATATCTCCTCACTTCTTGGGTGGTTTCTGTCTCCCACTATGAACGAGTACACAGTGTCTTTAACCTCCATCCAGCTCATCCCAGGTTCCTTCTTCACTTTGTTGTCTCTCATTAATCTCCTCACCTCCGCGACATTTCCCCACAAACCGACCGAAGCGTATATGTTTGCAAGAAGAACGTGGGTCCCGGATTTCTCTGGTTCTAGAGCAAAAAGCTTGTGCGCTGCTTTTTCCCCTATCTCCACGTTTTTATGGGTTCTTGAAGCGCCAAGAAGTGCTCCCCAAACAGACGCATTAGCCTCAAATGGCATTTTGTTTACTATATCAAAAGCCTCTTCTAGCTCCCCAGCTCGCCCAAGTATGTCAACCAAACAAGCATAATGCTCCTGTGTTGGCTCGATGCCGAATCTCTCTTTCATCGTTTTGAAATGGGTTCTTGCTTCAGAAATTAAACCGGCATGGTTACATGCACACAAGACACTCGTTAATGTTATGTGGTTAGGGGTAATTCCTTCACTGAGCATTTCGTTGAACAACTCGAGGGCTTTTTTGGCATGTCCGTGTTGAGCAAGCCCCGCAATCATGGCTGACCAGGAGACGATGCTCTTATTTGGAACCTCAGAGAAGGCCCGTCCAGCGTCTTCTATGCTACCACATTTCGCGTACATGTTTACTAGTGAATTGCCTGCAAAGGTGTCAAATATGAACCCATGTTTCAAGACATGAACATGGATTTGTTTCCCCTGTTCATACGCTGAAAGATCCGTGCATGCATTTAGAAGGGAACTGCAAACAAATGAGTCTGGGGTTATACCCAGATCTTGTAACCTTAAATAAAGCTTCAGAGCTTCTTCGCCTTTTCCGTATTGAGTATAAGCTGTTATCAAAGAGGTGAACGAAGGTAAATCTACAAAAGGGCATTCGTCAAAAACTTTAGCTGCATCTGTCAACTGGCTACATTTTCCATATGAATCGATGAGGCTGTTTATTAAAAAGAGATCAGACTGAAACCCGAATTTAACAGAAAGTGTGTGGACCTGTTTACAGAAATCAGAAGCTTGCAATCCAGCAGTTGAGTTTAGGGCTACCAGTAAAGTCGTTTGGTCAAACATTATTCCGTTTCTGTGCATTCTAGCAAAAAGGGATAGACATTCAGTGTCTGCTTCGTTCTGTGAATATCCAGCGATCATAGCATTCAGTGTGATCAAGTCCTTCTCCGGCATCAAATCGTAGATTAGTCTTGCATCATTCACCAAACCACATTTAGAGTACATATCAATCAGCCCAACACTCACAAATGGATCTAAAACTATATCTTTCTTTATCAGGAGAGAATGTAGTGTTTTTCCTGTAGTCTGAAGTTGTAATGCGGCAGAAGCTTTTAGAGCACTTGATAAAGTGAACATATTCGGGAACATCCCGGACCTCCTCATCCGGCCCAACATATCCAAAGCTTGTTCATGACGCTCATGAAGAACACATCCAGCTATCAGAGCATTCCAAGAAACAATGTCTGGTTCGGAAATCTCTTGAAAAACGACAATGGCGTCATCCAAGTCCCCCAGTTTTGCATACATGTCAACGAGCGCGTTGGATGAGAAAGGGTCTGAACCATAACCAAGCTTTAAAAGATAACAGTGGGTTTCCTTCCCTAGATAAATATCTGCTAAGCCTGTACAAGCATTCAATATTGTTGATAAACTGAACTCATCCGGCCTTATTCTACTACTGTGAACCATTTCTTGAAACAAGCTCACTGCTTCACCGAAAAAATCACATTGTGTGTAACAAGAAAACAAAGCATTCCATGATACAACATTTCTTTCTGAGATTTCCTCAAACAGTCTCCTAGAATAAAAAAGCTCCCCACTTTTTGCATACAAAGCAACCAACGTGTTGGCGACAAAAACATCAGAGCTAAACCCGGTCACCATCACAACCCCATGAATCTGTTTGCCTAGCAAAAGATCCTTTTTCAGCGAGCAAGCCTTGAGAACACTGGGGAATGTGAACTCATTGCATTTAAGACCCAAAGAATGCATCTTTTTGAAAGCTAAAGAGGCCTCCTGTGCGAGGCCATTCTGGGTATACCCAGATATCAAAGAAGACCAAGAAACCATGTCTGGTTCCGGACTTTCTTCGATCAGCTTGAGGGCATGCCCGAAATTCCCACATTTCGCATACAGATTTATCAAACCGTTTCTGTTCTTATTGTCTTGGGACAGCCCAAGTTTGATTAGACATGCATGGATTTGTAAACCCCCAACAACAGACTTGACCTCGGAGAGGTAGGAAAGGATCTTTGTGTAGGATATGGAAGAAGAGGGGTTGGAATCAGTAATTTGGTTGAGTATCGGAACAGAACGAGTCCCAAATTCTTGAACTGTGGAAATTGTTGATGTGAAGGCAAATCTTGGAGATGGAGATGAGAGTTTGAATTGCCGGTAAAGCCGTTGGCTAAGAAGTTTGTGATGATGATGATGATGATTATATGGTCGCCAAAGATTCGTCATAGTCCATTGGGCAAAAGCAAGAGCAACCCAATAAGCTGACAAAGATTTATCTACCTAGCAAACTGCAAATCATAGACAAAAATATCATTAACATGAATATTTTTTTAAATATATTCATTCCATATACTTAACACGATTATTATTATTTTTAACATGATTATTTTTAAATATATTCATTCCATGTAAAAATTAGATATATTAAAATGACAATATTATTAAGTAAACGAAATTTAATTTCTATTTCAAATTTCTTGTTTTGAACAGAATTCTATTTTTACTTGAACCCAAACCAAAACATTGGGATATTACTTCAAAAAAAACCTTGGGATATCAAATAAAAAAAATCACTCAAATTCAGGAACACAAAAAACTACTCCCTACGTCCAAGTTAATCGTCTCACTTCGAACCACTACAAAAATTTCCATCTTTTTAAAATTATTTTATTTAGAAATTGAAATAGAAATAAAAAGTATAAATTACACATTTCAAAACGACATCAAAAGTTCTTTAAAACAAAAAATGTGATAAGAATATTTTATTTTATAAAAAAATTAATGAGAACACACAGATAAATAAAAATGATCAAAACACCAGGATAATAAGGGAGCCATTAAATTGGGACATGGGAGCAATGGATTATTATTTCATTCATCACTAATAATACAGTAATTCAATAAATTAAACTCTTTTAAATAAAAACAATACCTAGCCGGTAGCTGTTTGGGCATTCCTCAATGGGGTTTCTCGCGGTGGGCAGTGGCGCTATCACTTTGGAGTATATGGCGCCTGTTGACGGCGGAGGACCTGCCGGAACCGAGCTGCGACGGCCGGCCGAACCGGCTGGCAAAAATAAATTCCTAAACCTTCCACCAAAGTATGCAATTAACTTCGAGTATCCAAAGTAAGTAATATAAAGATATGCTAGCGGTACACCACTAACCAGTACATCACTCCCCTTTCTACCATTCATTTTATTTTGTTTTTATTTTTTATTGAATTTTTTTTTCCTTTTTTGTGATGATGGAGGGGGTGGGGATGTTTGGGGTACACTTTTGGTATACCCCTAGCATTTTCCACGCTCACAATTTGTCAATATTAGATCTTGGTGAAGTGTCGATGCATCTCAATCCCCCTATATGCACCTTTCCTTTAAACATTTAACAAATTGTGCATTTTGCTTCAAAATTTTAAATAATTAAAAGAGTTTTTTGCACCGCTTACCCTTGGACTTTTCAAAAATTGCGTGTATTCACCCCGAATTTTAAAAATCATACTAGTTCCACCCTGAACTTTTAAAAATTTTGCACCAATGGTCCTACTGTGCCAAATTCAAAAATGCGTAAATCACACGTTTTTCCAATGTAAATATGGATCCATCTAAGGTTATATTTCAAGCATGAGTTCTGCAATATGCCCTTCCCGAACATTTTTTTCTATATTTTTAACATCATCAAACTCTAGATAAATATTTTCAATTTAGTCCTCGTTAACCAAATTTGGAGGACAGACATCAGTCGATAAAGTTCGTTATCAATCGATCAACTTCTTCATCAATCCATGGTATTTTCATCAAGCTCCAACACTTATATTGATGGCCGTGCAATTAACGCACTCTAAAATCTGGCACGTAGAAACTATTGGCGTAACATTTTTAATAGTTCAGAGGGTATTGATGTAATTTTTAAAAATCAGGATGAATCCGCACAATTTTCAAAAAGTTTATGTGGAAAAAACTCATAATTTATAAAAATTAGGAGTTTTTAGGGTTATAGTTTAAACATTGTAGATCAAATCATCAAAACCCAGAAAGTAAGCAGAAGCTAAAATTCAAACCAAGTAACAGTGTTCTAAAACACAAATTTATGTTCTAATCTAGAATCCCAAATTCAGTTTCAAACTAAATCGATTGAGGTGAAGAAATGAATTTTTTTAATCATACTCAATACAAAATTTCAAACAAATTGGTTGAAATGTTCAAAAGATTATTCTGGATAAAGTTACGTCAAGGTTTCAATCAGATTATGATGGAGAGCAACACATGTCTGTCTCTTTGATATTGAATCGCTTTGTACTAGGAGTGTGGAAAATTCTGGCATAGGAAGATTTTGTTTTTTTTTTCATTTTTGAACACCTTCCATAAAATTTCATACTAATGAATTGGATTAGACATATTTGTTTTGATCTCTCTTCTCGTCTATCTCGAGTGTGAGACTTGGAGGAATCTCAACACAATGTACTTATGCATGATAGCGTTTGAACCGGACTAGAGGAGCAATGTAAATTTTGACTTATTTTGTTTAAAGCAATTTTATAAATGTTTCTTTGTGCTTATAATCTTGTTACAAACTGTTTATGAGTTATTCTTAACTTATAAGTCGTCAGTCAATGTGTTTTTTTGCTTTTATAAGCGGCTTATAGTTCAAGAATAAGGTATTTCTTACTTATTTTTAAATCAATTTTTTTATTTTCCGGTTTGACCATATTATGAACATCCCCAAATGACTTTATATCTCGTTTTATTTTCATAAAAGAATATTTAACTATAAAAAGCTAATAAGCAAAAAACTACACCGTACTTATTAGCAATAAGCTAGTACGGAGTAATAAACAAAGTGATGTAAGTTTATACGAAGTACAATTTGATTTTTATTTGAATTGATTACTCGCATTTTAAACTCATTTGGTAATTAATTATGCATTTGTTAATGTTAATTTACGTTCATTATCATTTATTGATTCATTGATGCCTCTAATGCTGGCTTTGTGGATATTTATGCAATTGTATTAATTTTGAGCATTGAAGCTTATAATAACCGAACATATGCTGTTTTTTGGTTCTGCAATTCTTGGGATATTCGCAATAACTACTTCCCTGCGAGTGAACATTTCCATCCCCTTAGAATAGAAAATGGACCTTTTTTGCTATTAAAAATGTCCATTAATTTTATATGTATATATTTTATATTTTATGCCAATATATAAATAAATTGAATTAAATTCCATTTCGATCAACATTATAAACCAAGATGGTGAAGTTTAACAAGAAACAAAAGAAATATCTTAGGGTCTAATTAAATAGTTTTTTCAAAACACAAAAACTAAAAAATGAAGATATTGTCGAACGGGCACATAAATTTTAAGGAACCAATTCTTAGAAAGAATGGTTCTTTTAAAAATAGTTTCTTTACTTTCAAATAAGAGAAAGTCTGCATACATACACTTTTCATAGACCTTGTTTTTTTATGGAATTAGAGTTTGTTATTATAGCACATGCAGTGGGCGCGAAGAAGGAAGAATGTGCCTCTATGGCACCACTACACACCTCCCCTAACGACGCTATGTGCAAAATAAATATTAAAAAATAAAAAATATTACAGAACTCCCTAACGACGCTATTTCTTATTTAATTAAAATAAAAAAATATTACATCCAGAAATAACAATGAAAAATAAATGTCATTTACAGGACTCCTCTCACTAGTTTGAGATGACCAAAGTGAATGTTGGGAGATGCAATACTAATCAACAATTGCAATGGTTATAGGGGAAAGCATTGCTCCATATGACTGTTTTTATTGTATGGCCAAAAGAAAAAAATAGATCAGCACTGTCTAATTGCTATTCAAAACTGCACACTGCCTCATTGAACACAGAGACTCTAATATTATTATTATCATCAAAAGTACACTTAAAGCACATCAATGTTGAAGAGTGAAAATGTACCAAGCATTACGGTCATTGTTCCGATAACCCTCTCTAGCATGTTGGTGCTCCCCCTAGCGGCTTCTGGTTGTTCCGGTTTTGCTACTTTCCTTGGGTTCGTGCTTTAGAAAAGGGTGCGCCTGGGTTGGTCGGGCAGTTTCTGCGAAAGTGACCAATCTGTCCACATCCTAAACAGGCTCCAGTATGTACCCAGCACTCTCCGGGATGATGTCTCCCACAACTGTCGCATAACTCTTTAAATCTCTTATTAGGCTTGGTCTGGTTACTGCCAGCCACATGAATCGCCTTCGAGGATTGGCCTTTCTTAGGCAATGGACCCTTAGTGGGACTCTTGCCAGCAATGTTGTTATCCAACGTGTGGAAACACTTCGGTGCCGGTGTAAACTCGGCTTCAACCTCTGCCTTACGCTTATGCAACTCGCATTCCTGCGCAACATCAAACATACCATGGAACAGCTAACTTTCCAATATATGTTTTGGTTAAAAAATGTGATTTTTTTGGATGTTCACGTCATATTTTTGTGAGTTGGGACTAAGGCTCCGTTCCGTTCAACTTATTTTTTCTGATCTGATCTGATTCTAATAAGTTCGGATCTGATCTGGTCTGATCTGATCTAATTGGATCTGATCTGATCTGATCTGATTGGATCTGATCTGATCTGATTGGATCTGATCTGATCTGGTCTGATCTGATTAATTATGATTTAATTTAAAATTTCAAATCAATAATTTAATTTGACTTTATAATAACGTTTGAAAATTGTAATGATAATTCATATTATAATATAATCAATATTTTTTATTTAATGATTCCTTTTTAATAAAATAAAAATAGTTAATTCATATATTAGAATAATCATTTATATTATAATGTAATAATATTTTTTATTTTATGANTTAAAAGTAGAATTAGATTGACATTGTCAATGTATTTTAAAACTAATTTTTCCGACGTCTAACAATTAAGGATTACTTTCTCAGCTTTTTATTTAACCTATTTCTAAAGTTTATTCTTTTTCATTTTTAAGAACAATAATAATAATAATAATAATAATAATGACGATGATGATGATGATGATGATGATCATAATAATAATAATAATAATAATATAATAATAATAATAATAATAATAATGATAATAATTCTTGATGAGATATTATTTTAATAAGTCTTGATCTGATCTGATTGGATCTGATCTGATCTGATTGGATCTGATCTGATCTGATCTGGTCTGGTCTGATCTGATCTGATTTTAATAAGAATAAGAAAAAATAAGAAAAAATAAGTTGAACGGAACGGGGCCTAAAAATATTAAGAAAGACCCCACAATCATGACTCTAGAATAAACTCGTTGGTGTAGAATTTCATGGGTTAGGCATAGCAATAGGAAGGTGCCCTACTTAAGAAGACATGTGAAGCATTTCTTGTCATTGGAGTATTGGAGGCATTGGTCATGATAGCTAATGGCTTGCTCTTTTTCTTTTCAAGAAAAAAAAACTTAGGAAGATAATTGTAAGTGTATTTTCTACCCGAAAATCCTATCTACCAGGTTTGAGCTAGTGTATTTTCTAGTGCATCAAAAAACGCTCATTATAACTAGTAAACAAATTGATCAAATAATATCATAGACCAAATCTGTCTCACATAATGTTACTCCGTACATTATTAGTATTATCATGAAGAAAATAACTATGTTATTACGGAGTATTTTGTTTCAAAAATAATAGAAAAATTGAAAGAATTGTCTCAACTATTGTTAATCGGTTAGTTCCGGCTATAGTTTTAGTATAGAAAAAAATACTCAAATAAGACTGTCTTAAATGTCCTAGATAGACCTAATTAATTAGTTAATTAATGATCCAAATATCCCGAAATGCCCTTCCTCCGTAATAATGGTTTTCCATAGTTCACCACCTTCCTCCATTGCAGCCAACACATCATCCGTGCCACCGCCGCCCATTATTGCTACCAACGACCATCAACACCATCCACCACTTCCATATCAACGTCCAATACAATACTTTCATCAATGTCCATTCTCGTTGTTAATGTCTTTCGCACAAAGTTCATCTACATGGTTTCAATGTCCACCACTCCACCACCGGCCACTGCCACCTTTGCAAGTGCCCTTCGCGATGTCTCTATTAGTCACCATGGTAATGCCTCCGGTAATATCCATCGATCAATCACCTTGGCATTATTGCCAATTCAGATTTCCATTGACTTCATTCGAACCACCAATGTCGACAATACTCCGGCTTTCAATGTCCTTACGTAAACAAAGACGCAAAAGGGCTTTCAAGCCCCTTGCATCCAGGAAAACAAAGAAAAAATGAGTAGGTGGTTGCGATAGCTTGGGAGGTGGGGGTGGTTGGTGATGCATACAGAGATGGAACAGTGGTACATGAGGATTGGTCGCCAGCAGCATTGAGATTGGGGGAGGGGTAACAGATGAAGATCATCCCACCACTTGTTTAATCACCAAACAAACCCTAAGCAACCATTAGAATTAAAGATCGCTTTTACTCCCGTCGTCTTGCAATAAAAATCCCATTTGATTTCATAGTGTTTTATGCAAGATAATCTTTGGTTTAAATCTCATTTTGCCCCTATATCTAAGTGGGGTGAGTTAAGAAAGGTTAATGAATTAAAATGTGGGTGGGCTACAAAAAGGTACTTAAAGTATTAGGCTTTTGCTACAAGATAATCCAAAAGTAAAACTTTTCCCAAATAATAAAATGGAAATCTAGTTGTGGATGGAGGGAGTATTTATCATAAAAAGAAGGCTCAACCCTCGTTCTAATGCAATTTATTGGTATATATATTACCTTTGTTGCACATTGTAATTCTTTAGTCCCTGCACATTTAACAAATGTGACTGTAAGAACCATGTGCCATACCTAGTACTCAATGCAATATCAAACAGATAAATAAGTAGCTATAACATAAATACCTGAAATACAAATGACCCCTTCATTATTATCCTGTAATTCTTCAGAGTAGACATTGCAATTTCCTCCTGTCCAGTGACACTTTTCACCACAATGAAAACAATTTCCTTCTTCAGCCACGCTACCTGTTGGTTTTAATCCTTGTGTGATCGAAGATATGTCGGGACTAATTTTACCGATTTCTTTCTCAGCATCCTTTATTGTTTGAAGTAGATTTGACAGGGATTTGTCAATTTCATTCAATTTAGTGTCCATGATATATTGACTTAAACTAGCAGGCAACGATTGAAGAATTAAATCAGTCGCCAACTCTTGGCCCAAAGGATATCCCAAGTTCTCAAGTCTTTCAAGGTAGCCTATCATTTCTTGAACATGAACTTCAACAGATTCTTTTTGTGGCAAAAATTTACACCGAAATAAGGTCTTAGAGAGTTCAAACCTCTCTTGCCTAATTTCTCGTTGGTAACTGTGCTTCATAGTCTCAATCATATCAAATGCGTTCTTATCCTCATGGAGAAGTTGAATCTCTGGAGTCATGCTGGCAAATATCAGCCAAGAAACGTCTAACACATCATTTTCATGCTTCTTATAGGCAGCCTTTTCAGCCATGGTAGAATCTACCGTAGGTGGTTGAGGAAGAATTGTTTCAAAAACATAAAACTTTCCTTCATGCTCAAGGACTGTCCTCAGTTTTTTGTACCAATCTAGAAAATTCTCTCCATTAAGCTTCTCTTGCTCCAGGATAGAGCGGATTGATGATGTGTTGGATGTATTATCCGTCATGAATATCTACCATAAAACATGCAAAAGTAAAAATTTCATGATCTAAGTTATCATTTTATGTTTCCACCAAACAACAAGCAATGTAGTCAAATCCCATAAGTGGAGTATAGGTTTAAGTAGACCTTACACTACCTAGAAATAGCATAGAGGCTGTTTATCCTATGTTGCCACCGGCTTATTCAAAATAAGTCAACAATAACAACAATCGTAGAAAATAGTCATCACTATTAATTAAAATAAATTATAGCATTACGTTTTCTAGGGATTCAAGCTCATAATTCCCCTAAATTTGAGTGAGCTTGAATTTGTCACAACACAAAAGTATATAACACTTTTATTTAGGTCGACACCTAGACATCACTCGTAAATTGCATCACATGAACATCTTAATTACTTGGGCGAACAACTCTTCTAAAAAAAATTCTTCGAACAATCTCAACACATGCCTCTAGGTTTCCGACTCCATCAGGTCAAAACTGTGATGTCAAAACTAATGTTTTGCAATTTAAATCCCTCTATTCCCTAAACCTTCCACCAAATATAAAACCCTGCAATTTACTTCGACTATCCAAAACAACTCAACATAAACACTCACAATTGCAATCAATTAGAATCTACAAGAAGATTATAAACCTAAAATCATTGTCAATATTATATCTTGCTGAAGTGTTGATGCATCTCAATCCCCTCATGGATAAAACATTATGAACTTCGCTTTAAAATTTTAAATAGGAAGTGATTAAGTCAGGAGTATTTAGGGTTACAGCTATAAAGTTGTAGATCAAAACCCAGAAAGCAAGAAGATGCTAAAATTCAAACCAAGTAACAGCGTTATAACACAGATTTATCATCTAAAATCCCAAATTCAGTTCCGAGCTAAATCGGTGAAGGCGAAGGAATGAAAGAAAATCATCAAATCGTCAAACAAATCGATTGAGAATTTCAAGAGATCGTTCTGGAGAGAATTACCTCGAGGTTTTGGCGGGAAAAAAAAGAATCAGATATGGAGAGCAACACGTGTCCGTCTCTATGATATGAATCGCTCTGCTACTGATAAGAGAGCCTTGGTTGGTTTATTCCGGCAAAGAGAGAAGCCCGATCATCTTTTAATTTTAATTTTAATTGGTTTGGGCTTTGGGGGAAAAACAATATGCTACACTTAGACCAAGAAACGTACCTCAAAGTTACACCAAAGATATATATTACTCCGTAATATTTTGATGGTTCACGCTGATACAAAATGTTAGTACGTTAACAAAAAAATTGCACTAACATTTTGTTTCTGTGTGAAGTATGACCATAGTATTTCACTGACACAAAATGAAGGTACACACCTGCAGTGTACAAATTGAGGTACAAATAGCTTAATCCAAAACAAAAGTCTAGAATCGAAAATAATAGTATCACAAATTTTACAAAGTTATTATATTGATTTTTAAACTTTAACTTTTTAAATTATTCTCTACTTCATAACATTAAATTATTTTATTCAATCTTTGTTTAAAATACATACCGTAGTATTTTATTTCAAAACTAGTATTCATTTTATTTTTCGATGTTATTATACTCTTAATTTTCTAGTAAAAATTCCTAAGCCCAATATTATTTAAAGTATGCTACAAGTATCCTTAAAATTTGTTGTAATATTACTCTCAGGTACCTCACATTTTCGGCTAAGAACTTACATATTCTATATTATTAGATTTTACATCGAATAATCATTATTTTATTAAACTTTAATAAAATTCTTCAATTTCTAAGTTAAATAATTATTGTTTTGCATGTTGTTATTAAAAAACTATTACCTTATTTGTATTTTCATAAAAAAATAGTTTCGAACCACAAAATTTATTTTATTACTTTAAAAATATTATTCAAACTTTATATTTTCAAAAAATTAAAGTATTTATGAACTTTGTAATATGTTTATGTAATAAAATTAAATTATTTTATTCAATCTTTGTTTAAAATACATAGTACCTCCACCCATGAGTACTTGTCCAATTTTGACTTTTTTCAACCTTTAACTTTTAATTAAATAAAATATATATTGTATTTTAATTAGATAAAATAATATTTTTAAAATATTTCATATAATTAATCTAATAAAACTATTTCTATATCAATATCTAATATCATTTTGATTTAATTTGAGGTCAAAGTTTACTAATTTTAACCAAAAAAATCAAAAGTAGACAAATACTCAGGAGGGAGTATTTTATTTCAAAACTAATAGTCATTTTATTTTTCAATGTTATTATACCCTGTTCTGTAATATTTCCCTTTAGATTTATAATTTTAGTATACATAAATTCAATTTTAAAATATTTAAAAGTTTATAAATACTTAAATTCGTAAATAGTTTTAAAATTTTAAACATTCATAAATACCTTGATGTTTTAAAATATGAAGTTTAAATAATTTTTTAATAATTTAAAATATTTTTTGTGTGATAAAAAAGTAAATAACGTAATGTAACACCCGAACTCGCGTAACCCGAACCAAGGAGTTAGCGAATCAGGTTGTTACTAAATTGGTATTCACGGCACAACAATTTAGAAAACATTATTCAAAATCATCTAGACACCAAATCAAATATAAAAAGTTCGGAGTAAAGTCCATCAAGTGCGGAAGCTTTAAAACAATGTTCCATAACCAATGTTTAAACCAGGTAAATAATAAACACATTAATTAAATGTCCAAAATAAAGATGGTGACATCATCCACGGCGTCACATATCAACGTCCTCCGGGCTAGCCCTCCTGATCTAAATCCTTACCTGCGTGCAGTAAAAGACAAGAAGACTACACGCTCAGCTGAAAGTTGAGTGAGAAAAATATCTAACGCTAGTATTAATTTCACAGATAGTATCACATTTATATAATCAGCAACATCAGTGAATATTCAATATTTATTTTTAGTTACAAGGATCCAACAATTCCAATTCATTTATTCTCAACGGGCTAATTCTATCTCTACAACACTAAGGCTAAAATCAACAAACTAAAGTTACGGACGCTCGAGAGGATCCCTCGAGGCCGATGCTCGGACAAACCCAAAGAGAATCCTCAATGGGCGGGTTGGAGTCTCTACCAAGGAATCCCTTAGGCAGAACAGTGACTCCCGTACGTACGTTTTGAACCCTAGACCACTGGATATGCAAACATGTTCCACAAGGCCCGAATCTATCAAGAGTCCTATTGGTGATTTAACTATCAATTCAGTTCAGATCCGCCTAGATATACTAGGTGGCCAATTTTCAACAGAGTTCTCAAGTGATAATAAGCACTTAACAATTCCATAAACAGAACAACACGCTCAGCGGCCTATCGGGAGAATCACTTCTCCCGATTACCGTCGTGCTCAACCAACAGAATTTAACCCAACAATCAGTTCACGTGGTCAGGTTCAAAACAGCGAGCCCTACAACGTAAGTCAACTCTCATATTAAATATGCAAATTAGAAAATAATCTTCGTTTTGACCGACTCAGTAATTAATTAATTAATTGTATAAATTAATTAAAAATACCAAGCCGGGTTTTGGGGCGTTACACGTAATGATTTTTTTATAATTATCTAATTTAGAAATTGAAGATTATACTAAAATTAAATAAAAGAATGACTATTCAATGTAAAATTAAATAGCATGGGACATGTGAGTACTTAGTAGAATGGTCAAAATTATTAACTTTTTTGTGTTTGATTGATCAAAGTGACGGAACATTTAATCCTTACGGCTTAATGAATGCAATGCATGCAACCTTGGTCTACATTAACACAAATTTTAAGGACCCCCAAAATATATTTCTAGTAATGTAAGACCTAAGAGTTATTATCAGAAAATCGTAGGTAACTAGTAATAATTTTCTAATTTTTTTAGTAGAAAACTATCGAACTAAAAGTAAAAGAAATATTTGTACTAAATAGCCTTAAAACTTAAGTCATTTCTCTAAATAGCACTTAAAATATTTTATTCCCTAAATAACACTTAATAATGTCCATAATGTCTAGTGATTCCGAATATTTTCTTGAATAATGACTAATGCATAATGACTAAAAGTGCTAAATTGGGAAGAAAAACACATGTGGTGCTATTCAGGGAAAGTCATTATGTTTTGGTGCTATTTAAGTAAATTTCTCAAAGTAAAACATAGTAAAAATACAGAAATAGGAGCTCAATGTCTTTTATTCACAAAATATTAGTACACTTCCAATAAGGTAATAATGCAAAATACAGTGGGATACTACTATACATTGTCATAATGACACAATGCAAATTCTTATTTTGAGATAAAAAAGGAAGCCTCTATTTTGAGAATAAATGCTTTTTTTTGGGGGTGATTTTTTTAATGCCACTTAAATCTTAAATGAGAGGGGAGATATTTGGAAATGTTCAGACAGTTTTCATGACATTGGTTATCAATGTCATGAGATAACTTGAGACTCATACCTTGTTTCGGTTAAAAGTTGATTGTTTTATACCCCTCAATCTCTCTCTGGCTACTAAGAGGGAGGCCAAAGAGCTAGGTGTGTAGGAGGCGAAAAGTGGGCTTGAGAAGTTTAGGTGGGTAGGAATCATTAGTTTTCCCAAACAAAACACTATAGGAACTCTGGGTCATCCCATGACATTCAGACTAAGGTCATGGGGACCAATCTGATTCATAAAAGGTTAAAGATGATTTAGTTTATGATTTGGTCAAAACAAAAAGTTGGACTTAAAAAATAAATAGGTTGGATCTACTCTTTTTTACTTATTTATTATCATAGAGAAACACATTATCAACTGATTATTAAAATAAATTTTAACTTATAAGTATATTTGACTAACTTATAAACACAAAGAGACAATCACTTAATGTCACATTACTTTTTCTTTTCAACGTTTCACTCTACTTTAATTATTTTTCTACTCTTTGCTTTTTCTCTTTGTATTTTCTTGTGTACCTTTTATCAAAACATTTCATTTATATAAATATTTTCTTAATCTTATGATAAACCAAGAACGACAAATTATTGTATTTTTAAAGTCGATGCTCATTTTATTAACCTTAGTATATAAGTACATTAGATGATTTGGGCTCTATGAAAGAACTAAAAAACTCTTCATATCAGCCCATGAACACTAACAAAAGTTATTCCTAAATAATACTTCGTACTTTATACATGCTTCCCAATTTTGTAGCTTCTCTTTCCCAATATGGGAAAGATTATAGTGATTTTCTCCAATTTCCTTGAGAATTACTTCAATTTAAAGTTTGAGGGGCAAAGTTCTTCATAGGTGTCTCCAGGGACTCTCCATAGCCTTGATCAAATCCATAATACTCTTAAGGGAATTTTGCTCTAAAGAATCCCAAGTCTAACACATTCCAATCAAGGTTCTTTGGTGGCAATAATTATAGTTTAAAAAAATTTGCACTAAGTAAGACTAAAACATAAATCATTTTCTAACATAAGATTTAAATTTTTTTATTTCCTAAATAGTACTCCCTCCGTCCCAATTTATAGTGTCTGTTTCGGTTTACGATGTTTGACTAAAATGATTTTCAAATCATTTAATATGACAAATGGTATAGAGTTAAAAAATAAAAATTATATATTTAAATAGTATATCAAAATATCTACAAAACTAGTAGTGACAATAATACTTTATTTTATCAAATTGCTAACAAAAATAGAAAAAGAAAGTGAATGAAGTTTGACCATGTGAATAATGAACATGCATTATAATTTGGTACGGAGGGAGTACTTAATTATGTCTGGTGGAAGAAATAATGTCCAGTAATAGTAGATATTTACTTAAATAATGACTAATAGATAATGACCAATGATCATACATTGAAAAATAAAAACATATGGTTTTATATTGAAAAAGTTATTATGTTTTAGTTCTATTTAGGTAAACTCTTCTTTAGTTTATCCCGACCATCCTGTTGAGCACGTCGTAGGAGGTCGGGTCATTATACTCTAAATTTACAAAATACATGCATCTTAAAGTATGTTTGCCCACGCTAATACGAAAACACGAGTATAATGTGCGTATTAAACATATTCGCATAAAATACATGTATTTACTAAGTAGGGTGTTATGAACCCCCCTCGGTAACACACTAACACATACTAAGTAGGGTGTTATGAACCCCCCTCGGTAACACACTAACACAAAAGAAACACTTCCAAGATACTCCATATCAAAAATTGGTCCACTTTGAATAAACACCAGAATTAAGAAAGCAAAAATTGAGAGTTACTCATGTTATATGGAGTATTTATTATAGACCCCATTACACACACACACATTGAAAAAAGACACAAAAAGCAAATTTGAAAAAGATAAAAGGATGTAAGAACAAAATTTTCGGAGAATGATAGAGATCAATGGCACACATCTTGTTACCCAAAAAAATGGCACACTTCTGATACCGAATCATAAATAATAATCGTAGCAATGATAAGGTAGAAGGAAATTTCAGAGGAAAGAGAAGAAAAACCAGAGGGATACCCTTATGCCTATACCCTTAAAACTGACTTAGTCCTAAAGGTCAGAAGTAGAAGTAACCTGAGATGCACCCCGAAAAGCTTGCCCTTGCAGGGGAATCCAAACCATTCCAAGAGACAAAAATGCAAGAGAAGCAACATACGTGTATAGATCTAAGTGTTGCATCATATAAACACCAAGAATAGAAGGTATCTCTGGGATGAAACACCGAGTGGGCTTGTTGTTCCCACATTCAGATGCAAGGCAGATGTTGCTGCATTTCTATGTTTCTTGAAGTTGTGCTATACGAGGTTTGGTCGGGCATTTCTTTTGGAAGAGGCAATGTTGCCAACATTGAAAACAAGCACTCTCCAGGATGAAGTCTCCCACAACTTGCACACTGTGGGATCAGTGTTTGTTCTTTGGTTGGGTTTTTACCTGCCACAGAGATTGTCTTTTCCAAAGATTGACCCTTCTTAGGCAACGGAGGACCTTTAGTGGTACTCTGACAAGCAGTGTTCTTCTTCGTCTCCGGTGCTGGTGTGATCTTGGCTTCTACCTCTGCCTTACGCTTAAGCGATTTGCATTCCTGTGCAACATCAAACATCAATAACAACCTTTCCATATCCAATTTTGAAGACATATGACTCTCCGCACCCTTGCCATCATGCAACAATGAATTTTCCGAGAAATATTTGGTAAAAATACGTATAATTTTGGATTATTCAAGTCATATTTCCATGAGTTAGAACATAAAATTACTAACGACCGCATAATCACAACTCCAGAATAAACTCATTTGTGGTGTTTTCTCTCATGTCACAAAGTCTTATTGCAGGATTCCTACAAGGATTTTTAAAAACTACGGAGTATACAATGTAAAAATCTCTGAAACTATACCAAGCTTTATCATCAAGAGCACAATGCAAGAGAACAAGTCTGAAGTGTCCATCCTGTTTTCTAGAGTATTAAGGGGGCATTTGGTGAGCAAAACAGAGACGAGTTCTAACATTGAAGGACTTCAGTTCTTTTTCTGACTATTTGGTGAGCCATTTTAATAGTTTGGTTTTGAACCCTTTACGGTCTATTTGGTTTGGGGGAGGGGTGGGGTAAAAAGAAGTGAGTGGCGGAGATTAGAAGATTAATAACAATCTTTTAATATCTACCACTTATTTCCTTTCCCACCTCTCCAAAGAACACACCAAAAAAAACACTACCTAAGGTAAAGTTGTTCAATCAAAGGGGTTCACTACTGCCATCTTCCTTTCTTTTGCCAGATTGAACATATGTGTTAAGCCGCACGAACTCATTACTTTTTTCTCAAAACAATTGCATTCTAGGGTTGAAGACTCAACCCAACCGTCCACTGTTTGAATATGAACTCGTCGCAACAAACTACCTCCCAACGCAACCATTAAAATTACATATAAAAATCCCGGGTTGATTTCGGTGTTTTATGCAAGATAATTCTTTGTTTTGACTTTTGCATTTTAAATCTATATTTAAGTGGTCTGGGTTAAGAAAAAAATTAGTGGATTAAAACGTGGGGTGGGCTGGAAAAAGCAACTAAAATCATATTAGATTTTTACTATAAAAAAATTCCAATAGTAGATTTGAGTTTAATTGTGGGACATCCCAAAATAGAAAAATGGAAATTTAATTGTAGACAGATGGAGCATTTATCAAGAAACTAAGGCTGAAATCACATTCCATTGCCATTTATTGGTCTATGTATTACCTTTGTTGCATGTTGTAATTCTTTAGTCCCTGCAAATTTAAGCGAATGTGACTGTGAGAACTATGTGTCATATCTAATACTCATAATGCAAAATCCAATTATAAGTAAATAGCTATAACATAAATACCTGAATTACAAGAGACGCTTTCCTTATTTTTCTTTAATTCTTCCAAGTAGATTTTGCAATTACGCTTCCAATGACCCTTTACACCACAATGAAAACAAATCCCTTTTCCAGCCGCACCACCTGTTGGTTCTAATTCATTTTTGGTTTGCAGGGGCACTCCAACAACATTAACACCCTCTGTCTTTGTCCTCACATTGCAAATAGCACTCTTTTTACTACATTGGGTGATTGAAGATGTGTCAGGACTAGTTTTACTGATTTCTTTCTCCGCATCCCTTATCGTTTGAAACAGATCTGGCAGGGATTTGTCAATTTCATTCGGTTTATTGTCAATTAAATATTGACTTAAATTCGCAGGCAACGATTGAAGAACTAAATCCCTTGCCAACTCTTCGCCCAAAGGGTATCCCAAGTTCCCAAGTCTTTCAAGGTAGCCTTTCATTTTTTGAAGATGAATATCAACAGAATCTTTTTGTTGCAAATATCTACAACGAAATAAGGTCTTAGAGAGTTCATATCTCTCTTGCCTAATTTCTCGTCGGTAACGGTGCTTCATATTCTCAACCATATCGAATGCGTTCTTCTCATCATGGAGAAGCTGAATCTCTGGAGTCATGCTGAAAAATATTAGCCAAGCAATGTCTGTGGCATCATTGTCATGCTTCATAAAGGCAACCTTCTCAGCCATAGTAGAATCTGCCGGAGGTGGTGGAGGAAGAACTGTATTGAGGACATACAATGTTCCTTCTTGTTTAAGGACTCTCCTCAAATTTTGGTACCAAATTAGAAAATTCTCTCCATTAAGCTTCTCTTTTTCAAGGATAGAGCGCATTGAAAATGTATTGGATTTATTTTCTGTCATGAATATCTACCATAAAATGTGCAAAAATAAATGTCACATAATCTAAATTACAGAGTATTATTTATGTTTCCACCAATCAACCACAACAACCAATTTCGTAAAATCCCACGAACAGGGTGTAGGGGTACAATGTACGCAGATACCTAGGAGCACCAGAGGTTTTTTTCCCAATATGTAGCAATTAGCTTATTCAAATTAATAGTCATCACTCTTAATTAAAATATATTATAGCATTACATTTTGTAAGGATTCAAGTCCATACTTGCCCTAATTTTGAGTGAACTTTACTTACTACATAAAACAACATTATTTAGGTAGACATCACTTGCAAATTGCATCTCATGCAACTCTTCATTGCTTTGGTGAATAACTCTTATTCAAGTTCACCTTTGAACAATCTCATGTCTCTAGGTTTCCAACCTCACCAAGACAAAAAAGTGACCGGTGACGTCAAACCTAACGTTTTGCAATTTAAAATCCCCCTATTTCCTAAAAGTTGTTCTTCCGTGGTCCTAAAGTCCACATCTAAAATGTGAACCTTATAACACTTTTCATGGGCTAGCAAGGGACCTTTTCTTTTTGCCAAAGGCCAAATTCATTTACGATATCAATGCACTAAGGTCCATAACACGCATGGACCTTATGACCACGAAAGAATTTGCCATTACTACCGTCATCCCTAAACCTTCCACAAAAATAAAACTATTCAATTTACTTCAACAGTCCAAATTAACTCAATATACGCACCCAAAAATTCATAATTGCAATAGATTGTAATCCAGTAGAAGAATATAAACTCGAAATCCGTCAATGATAGATCTTGCTACAATGTTTATGCATCTCAATCCCCACATGGATAAAGATTATGCACTTCGCTAAAAACCAAAAAGTAAGACTAACCAAGTAAAATTGTTCTTAATCTATGCTCTAAACCAAACAAAATTTAGATTTGAACTACAACGGTGGGGGCGAAGGAATGAAAGAACTATCAAATAATCGTTACTTTTAGATCCGAATCAAGAAAATATCATACTCGATACAACCCGATTGCGACTTCTAGAGATCATTCCGGTTGAATTACCTTGAGTTTCCGCAGGCGAAAGAATCGGTCTATTCAGAGCCACACTGGATGTTTCTCTGTCTTGGAGTTCTCCGTTCTTTTGTAGAAAGAGTTAGGGGTGTTTGTTTTTAGGCGGTAGACATCTGCAGTAGAAGTGGTGTACCGAAATTCTGCGGTCTGCAAGAAGAAGACAGTTTGTTTTTTTAATGTCTGTAGACTGCTATATAAATTAATGGTGGTAGTGTACGGTGGTGGTGTATGGACGATTGTGGTGGTGGTGGAGGGTGGTGGTGGACGACGATGGTGATGGACGGTGACGGTGATGGTGGACGGTGGTAGTGGTGGACGGTGGCGGTGAACGGTTGTGGTGGTGAAGAGAAGTAGAAAAAAAAGAGAAGATGTTAGAAGATGTTAGAAGACATTGGTTAATGTCTTCTCCAAGAAGATGTCAGGAAAACCTTTTTGAGTGAAATGTCTTCCAAAAAACAAACAATCTGCAGAGCCCATCATCTGCGCGGCGCAGACAAAAGACGCCAGAAGGTCTTCTGGCGGAAAATCAAACACCGGGATCAGATCAGCAAACGAAAGGCAACTTAAAATTTTAAAAAAGGAATTTTTTTTTTGGAAAACTTGGACAATTTCTTTGAAAAACTTTGACAACGTCATATTCTCTTCACCTGATAGGTTCTGATCTGATTAGAATATGATTAGATTCGGTCTGAATGTACTTATATTTAAAGCTATTCATAATCTGGTCTGATCTAATCTGATTCCCATAAGAATAAATAATAAAAAAACTGGAGAACTTTGACAAAGGTCATATTCTCTTCACCTGATAGGAATTTTTTTTGGAAAACTTTGACAATTTTTTGGACAACTTTGACAAGTGTCATATTCTCTTCACCCGAATTGATTGGTTCTGACCTGATTATAATAAGTTTTGATCTGATCTGAATGTACTTATATTTAAAGCTATTCATAATCTAGTTTGATCTAATCTGATTCCAATAAAAATAAGTAATAAAAAAAGTTGGAGATTACATGACCTAGCTCACTATCTTTCCATCTTTTCACTACGACTCTGCATTACTTTCAATCACATATTTTAGTTTTCTTAAACTTTTCACCCAAGTCAATTTAGGGCATGTTCTTTAGGACTGAAAAAAAAGGTCTGGATGTTGGAAGAAAGTGGAAGAAACTGGAAGGAACGGGAAGAAACTGGAAGGAACTGGAAAAACTGGAAGGAACTCGAAGAAACTGGAAAATATTGGAAAAACTGAAAAAAATTAAAAGAAACTGAAAAAACTAGAAAAAATTGAAAAATCTAAAAAAGTTTTAAAATTTTTTTTATGTATGGTTTTATAATATTCTCATTCTAATTCTTGTTGTTATAAATTATTGTTGTTGTTGTTATTGTTGTTGTTGTTGGTGGTGGTGGTGGTAGTGGTGGTGTCATCATGTTATCTTAATGATTGTTTTTAAGATATAAAAAATATTACGAGTTTTATTTTCATATATAAAAAGCTAGTTTAAAAAAAAATAATTAGAATATAAAATTAGCATAAATATCAAAATGTTAAATACTTAAGAGTTATATGGCTATGTTGTATTTATTATAAAATAATATATTTGTAATTATATTTTATATATTACAAGATTTTTTAATTATATTTTATATATTACAAGATTTTGTTTTAGATTAATATACAAAAAAAGGTATTATTCATATTAAAAAGTTGAAGAAAAAATATTAATGAATGTGAATCATAAAAATAGTGAGATGAAAAAATGAAATAATTTATAAACTATAGTTATGAACATAAAAGCTGCAATAATAATAATAATAATAATATATTTTTTAGAGTGATTTGTCAGAAAGTGGAAAAAATTTGAAGAAAATAAATATAGTTGGAAGAAATTAGAAGGAACTGGAAAAAACTGGAAGATACTGGAAGGAACTGGAAGAAACTGGAAGGAACTCGAAGAAAGTGGAAATTAAAAGTTCAAGCTCTAAAGAACAGGCCCTTAGGAGACTTTTTTTCAGACAGAGGGAGTTGTAATTTTAAAATTTAAAACATTATAAAGAATAATCCTTAAAAATAAATTTAAAATGAAAGATAGGATAATGGGCTTGAGTATTCCTTCTAGTTCTCAAATTGGGTACAAATACTCCCTCTTTTTGCCGAAAAAAATAAACGCAAAATAGATTTAAAGGGTGTGTGCGATCTTAAAAAATTATAAAGACTTTATTGGCCGGATAGGTCCGGATCCGGAGAAGTCCGACTTGCGAGAAATCCGATTTCCGAGAGGTCTGAATTCCGAGAAATTCAAATCTCGAGAACTCCGAATCCTGATATGACTGAATCCCATTCTAATTGGGATTGATCTTGATTTATTTGTTTCCTAGTTTGATTATTGATTCGTTTCCTTGTAGGATTTGTATTCCTTGTCTATTTTGGAATTATCCTCTCCTATAAATAAAGGAGAAACCTCTTGTAATTAGACAGAACAATTCAATATATACAAACTATTTTCTCCCTTATTAATTTCTACATGGTATGAGAGCAAGATTCCTAGGGAAAACCCTAATCTAGACAAACGACGGTCCATCGTTGTCCGCTGTCGAATCAAGCCCGTCTTCCGCCGGACCACCGACATCGACCATCTTCCACTACCGTCGACATGGCAGATGCAGAGGAAAATCTCATCGGAAAGATCTTCGATGAGGAGGAGAAGATCCCTACGAAGGGAAGTTCTTACGAACTCAAGAACGCAAACACACCCGGATTAATTATCACCCAAGTCAAACTAAACGGTGATAATTATGAAAAATGGGCCCGTGCAATGAGAATTGCATTCTGTGCAAAACGGAAAATTGGATTCATTGAAGGATCCATCCCTTGTCCAGTAGAGGGAAATGAAAATTATGAAGAATGGTGGATTGTAAATGCCATACTGGTCTCATGGATTTACAATACCATTGACAGTAGTCTGAGAAACTCTATCACACAAGTGGAGGTAGCAGTAGAACTTTGGAAAGACATCCAAGATCGTTTCTCTGTTGCGAATGGTCCCCGGATTCATCAACTAAAGAAAGAACTTGCAAACTGCAAGTCAAACGATCAGTCCATTGTCACGTACTTTGGAAAATTAAAAACAATTTGGGACAAACTTAGTGATCATGAAAAGATTCCCACTTGCAAATGCCAAGGATGCAAGTGTGGGATAAGCAAAGCTCTTGCCATTCAAAGGGATAAAGAAAAGGTTCACCAATTTCTGATGGGATTGGATAACGAAGGATATGGGAGTCTACGATCCAACATCATCGCCACAGAGCCCTTGCCACCACTGAATCGTGTTTACTCGGTCATTATCCAGCAGGAAGGGGTCTTGAAGACTACCCAAGAAGAGGAACGTAACCCGGTTGGCTTCGTTGTCACTTCTAAATTTGATCGTGACGCGACTAAAGATTTAAAATGCAAACATTGTGGGTTGAGCGGACACGAGAAGAGTGGTTGCTTTCAACTCGTTGGATATCCTGAATGGTGGGGAGATCGCCCACGCATCTTGAACCCGGGACGAGGTAATGGCCAAGGCAACGACACAGGAGGATGGCACGGTGGCAGGGGGCAACGCCGGCCGAGGTAACCGAGGCGGGGCTGGTGGCGGTCCAGTTGGCGTTCCAACATGGGGACCAGTGGCCCACACAGCTCAGGCTAACCCGACGGATGGAGGGCGTGCAAATCTCCCTTCTCTCACAACCAATCAATGGAATGCGCTTATGGGACTTTTAAATGAGAAGGATTCGGGTATGGAAAATAAATTTTCAGGTATGACTAATACTTCTTGGATCATTGATAGTGGAGCCAGCCAACATATGACCAGCGGTGAGAAGTGTTTTAAAAAATTGGAAGCAATGAAACCTTGTTCTGTTGTTCTACCAAATGGAGATTGTGTGGTATCCAACAAAAAGGGGAGTGTGATCTTGAATAATTTGATAACCTTAGAAAATGTTTTGCTAGTTCCTCAACTTAACTGTAATCTTATATCTGTCTCACAACTTCTTGAGAAAAAGAATTTAATTGTCAAGTTTAATAATAAAATTTGTATCATACAGGACTATATCTCGAAGATGGTGATTGGAGTGGGTGAGCAGGCTGACGGACTGTATTATCTCAAGAAAGGTGTGAAAGACAAAGTGTGCACAGTGAAGGAGGCAAAGGATCTGGACATTTGGCACAAGCGTTTGGGTCATCCCTCCTACACCATTGTCAACACTTTTCTTCAATTATCCAAAAATACCAATATTCTTAATTCCCCTTGTGATGTGTGTTTTCGTTCAAAACAATGTCGTGACTCTTTTCCAATTAGTGCAAATAAAACTCTTACTCCTTTTTCCTTGATTCATTGTGACTTATGGGGTGGGTATCGTACTCCGTCTCGCACTGGGGCGAGATATTTTTTTACTATTGTTGATGATTTCTCTTGGGCAGCATGGGTATATCTCTTGAATCACAAATATGAAGCTCCCACTGTCCTGCGTAACTTCTTTCCCATGATTGAACGCCAATTTAATAAACAAGTAAAAACTGTACGAAGTGACAATGGTACAGAGTTCACTTGTTTAAAATCCTTTTTTAGCAATCATGGGATTCTTTTTGAATCCTCTTGTGTTGGTACCCCACAACAAAATGGTCGAGTTGAACGAAAACACCGTCACATTCTCAATATTGCCAGAGCCCTCCGTTTCCAAGCAAATCTTCCACTTAAATTTTGGGGTGATTGCATCCTCACCGCTGCCTATCTCATTAACCGAACACCCTCTGAGCTACATAAAGGCAAAACCCCATATTCCATGATCTTTCAGCAAAACCCCTCATACAATCATATCCTTGTTTTCGGATGCCTCGCCTATGCCCACAATCAATCTCACCATGGAGACAAATTTGAGTCCCGTTCTCGTCGTTGCGTTTTCCTTGGCTACCCATTCGGCCAAAAGGGGTGGCGACTTCTCGATTTGGACAACAATAAAATATTTGTCAGTCGAGATGTCAAATTCTTTGAAAATCATTTTCCCTTTCACCCACAAAATACCCCCAATCTCACAGAAACTGAACCCACTGCTGAGCTTTTTGAGGAGGAAATACCCAGTGAAGAAACTGCCTCAGAAACGGTCGGCCGTCACCCTTTGAATCT